CCCCCCACCGCCAAGTCCTACACATTCATTTCTTCTGCCTCTCTTTTCTGACACATGTCTTTCTTCTTGTTTCCTAAGGCTGTGCTTCAGTTTCAGGCCCTACCCTTGCATTAATACATTCAGCAAATGGCGTTGGAAATCCCCTTACAAAGTCATTGCTTTAATTATGCCATTTTATTATGATCACTAATTACCAAACTCAAATTCCACACTTGAGGCTACAATGAGTAGAACAGAGCAGCACATTACCATCAACTGGACATTTATGGATGTGTATGTTCTTTTCAGGCATCACTTCACCTAGCCTCCCCCAAATCTTTTTTTTTTTTGGGGGGGGGTCCGGTTGTGGGGCCTGAACTCTGGGCCTGGGCACTGTCCCTCAGCTCTTCAGCTCAAGGCTAGCGCTACACCACTTGAGCCACAGCACTACTTCCGGCTTTTTTCTTTTTGCTTATATGGTGCTGAGTAATCGAACCCAGGGCCTCAGGCATGCAAGGCAAGCGCTCTACCACTGAGCCAACTTCCCAGCCCCTCCAAATCTTGCAATGGCATGCTGTATTGTCCCCAATGTGTAGCCAAGGGAACAACTGAAAAAAATTGGTAATCTGCCTAAGATTATCTAGCTAGAGCTACCTGATGGAGCTAGGAAATAAGTTCCATTTGTCTAATTGCAAAGCATATGCTTTTACCCAGCAAGCCACACTGTTTCCTAAATGGAGGTAACACCATCCAGCTCCAGTAATGTGAGGATTCACTAAAACATCTATGTAAAAACCACCTGCCAAAGCTACATCTAGTGGCCTCCTTTGCATTCTTTAGGCTTCAGCCTTACATTGCCTCTACAGAGAAGACTTTCTTACTTATCCTACCCCAATATAGCAGCCTGTCACATAAGCCCATATTCTTTGTCTATCTTTTTGGTGGTGCTTGGGATTGGACACAAGGCTTTACACACTGTAGGCAAGTGCTCTACCAATGAGCTACACCTGTAGCCACTTGTACTGTCTCCTTATTCCATTTTAATTTCACTGTAGCACTCACCTGTCTGAAACTTATTTAGACATTTGCTTATGTGTTTTTTTTTGCCAATATTGCTTTACTAGTATGTGAATTACACAGGGGAGGAACTGTGTTTACCTTTTGCATTGCCTTGGCTTAATATGTAAGTGTTCAGTATTTTTTTGTTTAAAAAATTTAAAAAAATAAAATAAAAAATTTTTAATTATAATGGTGATATACAAAGCTAGGTGCCAGGGGCTGGGAAGGTGGCTCAGTGGTAGATACTTGCCTTGCATGCATGAGGCCCTGGGTTCCATTCCTCAGCACCACATAAGAAAAAAAAAAAGAAAAAACAAAGCTAGGTGCCAGTGGCTCACATCTGTAATCCTAGTGACTCAGGAGGCTGAGATTTGAAACTCACAGTTTGAAGCCAGCCCGGCCAGGAAAGTCCATGAAACTTTTCTTTTTTTTGTCGGTTGTGGGGCTTGAACTCTGGGCCTGGGTGCTGTCCCTCAGCTCTTCAGCTCAAGGCGAGCGCTCTACCACTTGAGCTACAGCGCCACTTCCGGTTTTCTGGTGGTTTATTGGAGATTGGAGTCTCACGGTCTTTCCTGCCCGGGCTGGCTTTGAACGGCGAACCTCAGATCTCAGCCTCCTGAGTAGCTAGGATTATAGGCGTGAGCCACCAGTGCCCGGCTTCCATGAAACTTTTATCTCCAATTAATCATCAGAAAACTGGAAATGACACTGTGGCTCAAAGTGGCAAAGTGCTAGCCTTGGGTGAAAAAAAGTTCAGGAACAGCACCCAGGTCCTGAGTTCAAGCCCCATGACAAAAAATAAAATTAAATAAAGTAAGTACAGAGAGGCTAATGTTATGTAAGTCAGGTAAAGAGTGCATTTTTTTTGGGGGGGGAGGGTCCATCATGAGGCCTGGACTCTGGGCCTGGGCGCTGTCCCTCAGCTCTTCAGCTCAAGGCGAGCGCTCTACCACTTGAGCCACAGTGCCACTTCTTGTTTTTTCTGCTTATGTGGTGCTGAGGAATTGAACCCAGGGCCTCATGCATGCAAGGCAAGCACTCTACCACTGAGCCACCTTCCCAGCCCCAAGAGTGCATTTCTTTTTGGACAATGTCACCCCTTCCCTCACTCTCTCCCAGTTCACTATTTTTTTTTTTTTTTGCAGAAATTAGTATACAGTTCAGTTATAGAGGAAATAGTTCTCATTACTTTTTCCTTCTGTGAATAACAAAAGAAAAAAAATTCAACACTCATGCATTATAAAAATAAAGGACAAGCTAGGTACTAGTGGCTCACTTCTGTAATCTTAGCTACTCAGGAGGCTGAGGTTTGAGGATCTCAGTTGGAAGTCATTTGGGATAGACAAAACCAAAAGATTTATCTCAAATTAACCAGCAAAATGCCAAGAGTGGAGTTATAGCTTAAGTGGTAAAGCACCAGCCTTGAGTGTAAAAGCCAAGAGAGAGCCGGGTGCCAGTGGCTCACACCTGTAATCCTAGCTACTCAGGAGGCTGAGATGTGAGGATCGAGGTTCAAAGCCAGCTAGGCAGGAAAGTCCATGAGACTCTTATCTCCAATAAATCACTAGAAAACTGGAAGTGGTGTTGTGGCTCAAGTGGAAGAGTGCTCAACTTGAGCTGAAGAGCGCAGGAACAGTGCCCAAGTCAGAGTTCAAGCTCCACAACCAAACAAAAAAAAACAAAAAAAAGCCAAACTGGGCACCAGTAGCTCACACCTGTAATCCTAGCTACTCAGGAGGTTGAAATCTGAGGATTGCGATTCAAAGCTAGCCTGGGCAAGAGAGTCCGTGAAACTCTTATCTCCAATAAACCACCAGAAAACTGGTAGCTCAAGTGGTAGAGTGCTAGCCTTGAGCTGAAGAGCTGAGGGACAGCACTCAGGCCCAGAATTCAAGGCCCACGACCGACAAAAACAAAAACAAAAAAGCCGGGGCTGGGAAGGTGGCTCAGTGGTAGAGTGCTTGCCTTGCATGCATGAGGCTCTGGGATCGATTCCTCAGCACCACATAAGCAAAAAGAAAAAAGCCGGAAGTGGCACTGTGGCTCCAATGGTAGAGCACTAGCCTTGAGCTGAAGAGCTGAGGGA